ACATTTTCATCGGTGCCTTAATTACATGCGCTATAAGGAGGTCGAAGCTGACTTTGCATCAAATTAAGGCAATCCTGTGCTACAAACAAGATTTTAGAGCATGGAGCGTTGCGCTGGGAAGTTATTTACAAGAGAAATATTCTTTATGTTTCGTGATATTCTTGCACGGTCCGCAGAGATGGTAGTGGCAACATGCAATCAAACTTATACATGCTTTATATACACAATTTGCAAGTATCAAGCATCATAAAGGGAGGGGAACGTATCATTCTATCATAATGATGACGTGTCTAAATGTTCTTGGAAGAAGATGGAATCATTTGGCCTCCCATGTGAGCATATTATTGCACTATTGATTTTTTTAGATGTCGGAGAATTGCCAAAGACTCTAGTGGCTGATCGATGGACAAAGAACACGAAGGAAGAAATATGTAGCACAAATAAGCATCTTCCAAAATACTGGGATTCATACAAGTCGTCAAGATATTGTGCTCTTATGTTTCAATATATGCGTTTGAGCAAATTAGTAAGTGAGAATGGTGATGATTTCAATAATCATATGAAACAAGCTGCTGCTAATATCCGAAAGATGGAAGAAAAAAGGGGCTTACATGATGGTGGAGCCACAAATTCAAGTGAAACTGTCCATGAGACATTGAAGGATCCTGCTCTAGCTAGAACTAAAGGATGTGTTGGGGAATCTTCAACACGTCAGAAAAAAAGGAAGCAGACTCAATGTTGTACTTGCAGAGAATTCGGGCATAATAAGCAAACATGTTCAATCCTCGACATCATGCTAACACGACACATCGTCACACGGAGATTTTCCCAACATTGAATTCAGTGATGACTCTGTAAGCAATTTATTTAATGTTATTATTTAATGGTATCATTGTTATAATTATATAGTTATAATTATATATGGTTCTTGCAGTTGCATAATGATCATGATTGAAGATAGAACAATATTAATCTAGAGCTTTCCGAACAACAACATCCAGAGCGTTCTGAACAACATCCAGAGTTTCCCATCAGCCATCAGCCTATGCGACCATAGTTAGATTATGCTTTTATGTGATAATCAGATACTTAAAAGTTAGACTGTCGTGATTATGGATATCAGTTTTAGTTAGAATCACAAAGTTGTGTGAATGTGTACTATTTAAGATTATGCTTATTAGAATTTTGTTTGAAAGAGTATTTTGTTCATGATCTTTTAAGTAGTTATGCTTGGTGAGATTATACTGAAGATGTTGATACAACCTTTTCAGGTTTGAGATACCATGATGATTTAGTTATATGTTTAGTTAGTTGTATCTATGATAACTCTTAATTAGTTTCTAACAGGTTCCTGAAGTCTTTCTTTCCAAGGGTTGGTTTGATTATTAGCAATCATAAATTGAAATTAGAAATGGTTGGACTACTGATATCAACCTTTATCCCGACATACACATTCAATTTTGTGTGTTAGCATTGGATCAGTGTGACAATGTCCCTTTCGCTTCATTTTTCATATTAGAACATGCAAGTGCAAACTGAAACTTACTTAAATCAAAAAGGCTAATAGCATATTGTTTGATAAGTAACAGAGAATGCCAATATGGTGGAGATGGTTTTTTTTGGATTTGCCCTATCTCTTGGACTCTATGTGGCTTGGTAACTATACAATTTGGTGATGTTAAAGAACATATAGATACTGGAGAGACCGTGGAAGAGTTTGTTAGAAGTTATTTTGGGTATGGAGATCAGTTAAAAGGTGTAGCTGCAGCTGTGGTAGTTGGTTTTTCACTAATCTTTAGATCTACTTTTGCCTTTTCAATTAAGGCATTTAATTTCCAAAAAAGATGAGCATTTTTTAAAAAATAAAAGCAAAAAGCTGTAAATAGAATAATCTCTGGTGTTCATGAAGCTATATGTATTAATTGGTGCACAAATGAAATAAGAAAGAACTAAAACCAGTAAATTAAATTGTCAGCTGCCGCATATGATACAGTCAGAAAGTTCTCTCTCATCCTACTACACCTAACACCTACAATTAAAAAATGAATCTCAATTCTTAGAAAGAGGTACAGAAAAGAAAATCAAACAAGAAGGAACCGAAAAGACTTGTTCAAAAAGACTTCGACAATATTTCAATTTGAAATTCCTCATTTTAGAATATTTTAACATTCTTAGACTTCCATCACATAGTGCCATATAACATATTGCCACAAGTTCAACCCAGTTGGCATAATATATCCCTTTGAAACTCACTTAAGACAAAAAAGTTCCATTTATGTTACATAGAGTCAAGTATATACTCATAAAAAATTCCATTTATTTTAACTTACGTTATCTAAATTTTGAATGGTATAAAATCAATACGTATATCATTTTTCCATTCCTTACTAATTGTCTTACAATCATATACTCCAACATCCCTTTTCTTATAAGGAAGATAAACAATAAAAATGAAAATGCCATGAGTAAGACACTAGCATAGTTACATTCACATACTACTATAGTCTGATACCACTATTAATGGCCATTTTTTTTAATGATGTATAAACTGACTTAGTTTGAAATGATGGTGTGAGTTGATATATGTAAAATGAATAGGGAGTTATGATTGCTTTGTTAATCTTCCTGATAAGATGAGATTTATATGACAAATGTTGGTATGTTAAGTGTTATGTGTTTGAATATTGGAACATGATGTTAATATATACCATGGCCACTCACGTATTTGAGAAAAATATGGAGGTGGGGAGGTGGGTGTTGTGGGTTGTGGGTGTTTTCACAGAAGGTGGAAAGAAAGTGGAGGACAAAAAAAGGTTTTGTTTGACATCTTAAACCACAGAGGGAGAACACGGGTGTGTTTTAATTGTTGATTAAACTTTATTTAATTTTAATTAAAAAAGAAAGAAAAAAATGTTAACCAGGTGGCACAATCTCAAGTGTTGGATGAATCTATTGCGTTGCAAGTTTGTGAACAAAAAAAAAAAAAAAAACATCAAAGGAACATCCTTAGTCCAAGTTGCTAACAATAAATATATGAATCGTTGAAATTAAAATTGAATCGTTGAAATTTAAATTCTCAAACTATACTTAATCTAAATAAATAATACTGGATGCCCGAATCTTTCTAAATATAATTCTTAAGTCGTAATTTGTCTAATTAGGTAAGACTCGACACGTGTATCATCAAAATCACGATTCATTAGACCTACTTAGTCTAACTAGGTAAGATTGGACATACGGGTCGTCGAAATTCAGACTATTAAGTCGTACGTGGTCTCGCTAGGTCATACTTGACACGTGGATCGTCAAAATCATAATTATCAAATTATAAGACCTATTTAGTCTAATTAGGTAACATTTGACATACGAGTCATCATAATTAGGATTATTAAGTCGTGCTTAGTCCATGTTGATAACAATAAACATATGAATCGTTGAATTAAAATTCTACTGTACTTAATCTAAATAAATAATATTGGATGCCTAAATCTTTCTATATATAATTCTTAAGTTGTAATTTGTCTAATTAGGTAAGACTCGACACGTGTATCATCAAAATCCCGATTCGTTAGACCTACTTAGTCTAACTAGGTAAGATTGGACATATGGGTCGTCGGAATTCAGACTATTAAGTCGTACGTGGTCTCGCTAGGTCATACTTGACATGTGGATCGTCAAAATCATAATTATCAAATTATAAGACCTACTTAGTCTAATTAGGTAACATTTGACATACGAGCCATCATAATTAGGATTATTAAGTCGTACTTAGTCCATGTTAATAACAATAAACATATGAATCGTTGAAATTAAAATTTCGAAACTGTACTTAATCTAAATAAATAATACTGGATGCCTGAATCTTTCTAAATATAATTCTTAAGCCATAATTTGTCTAATTAAAAAACACTTTTGACATTTGGTGAAAAATTTAATTAAAAGATAATTAAAAAAAGATACAAACAAAAATGCAAGACATAAATTAATTAAAATGTAATTAATAAAAGATAATAAGTTGAACCGCAAGGCACAGGGTTTGAACAAAGTACCCCTTAGATTTTAAAGATCATTTTTACCATTGTGCTAATGTATCAGTTAGTAACATAATTTGTCTAATATAATATATATTTACATTTAACCTTGACACAGTAAGACCTACATAGACCCAACATCTAAATTGTATCCAACTTCCCCTATTTTTATGGGAAGAGTAACTTGTTATTAGAATTTGTTATGGCAACGTAATTGAACTCGTCACACAACACCTTCCCATCTCCCTTATTTTTCTGCAAATCGTTGAAACCTCAATACTTTCTTTTTCTTATAAAATCCTTAGGTTTCAAAGTTAAAGAAACAAAAACTATCTCTCTCTGCTTTCTTTTTTGTATTGACATACACACTACAAGAAAAGATAAATATATGACTATTAATGGTGCTAGTAAGGAAACTTTACCTCACACCAATCAAAGAGTTGCAGGTAATCCTTATCTCTTGTTACCTTCTACTCATTAATTTCTGATTTTACTTTTTTGATTTTCATTTCCTAACACGTCAACACTTATATGATGCTTTTACTACCCAGATTCAGTCTCAATTTTTAAGAGAAATGCTTACTATTTTGCATGGTTTGAGATCCTCTGTTGGTGATGTCATGAACCTTCTTCAGGTATACATTTATTGTATTTTGTTTTTTCATTCAAATTTTTCTAATTTCACCTTTTTAATTATCCTTTATAAAAATAAATCATCCAGGTTCATGAAACTCACATTACTGAGTTACATACCATGGCTAACATCATGTTGAGAAAACTTGTCATCATAGAGACCAAGTTGGATAAGCCAACAAAAACGGAACTCCAATTTTAAAACAAAAACATGCTGCTAAGTCGCCATTTAACCGTTCAAAATATTCGTGGGAAGATAATGTTGATAACATCATCTTGATCACATCAGATGATGACACAAATAACAAAGTTGACAACAACATTAAGCATTCATCTATGCCTAACTTAACAAGCAAGGTATAAAATCAATTTATAATGAATTTATGTTTAATTGATTATTTTTGCTGTAACCATTATTAAATTTCTCATAGATGAAACACAAGTTGTCTCCGATAAGGAATCAAGCAACAACATCAAAGAAATTGTCCTTCACACCTTTATCGAGAGCAACAACATCAAGGAGATTTCCCTTCACATCTTTACCCAAAGAGAGACAATTAAAAGTTCCAAAATTAGAGACTAAAGAAGATAAGATAATATCTAAGGCGAACATCAATCAACTATAATTTTATATATTTTATTTTGTTACTTTGGATATCTAATCAATTACTTATTCTCAGTTTGTTGAGACCAACTTCGTAACCACCCAAGAAATGAAACTCCAACCTATAGAAGAACATGTTTTATATTATGTTTTTCATGCTAAGAATGATCCCAAGTATTATTTTTGAAAAAGTAGTCATTTTTTAATTCCACGGTAACATTTAATAACATCACCCCGTATGTATATATATTCTTATGCATTCAGTGAGGAATTGTTCAAGATTGAAACTCTAACATGCTTAAGAAATAATTTTCAAACTCTGTGTCTGGGAAGGATAATTGACACTGAGGTACTTTAAATGATTGCAGCCTTTCAAACTTTTAAAATAAGTATTTGCATTTATGAGATAATTTTGTTAATTGATTGCAGATCATTCACATTATGTCTCTTAAGATAACTTGGATTGAGAGGAATGTTGCACTCCCGTCTATATGGTCACTTCCCATCGTTCGTGGTATGTATTTGTTAATGAAAATAAATTTAACATATATATGCTTATTTATGGTGTGAAAAATAGTTTTTAAAATAATTCTTTTCATACATATGTTTGGTAGAGAGACGTATATCGTGGTACAACAATTGAAGACATGGTTAGTGAGTATGCAAAGAATTGGATGCCCCATTTTGAGAATCTAAAGCATGTATGAGTTTGGTATTATAAAGTATTAAATTTACTGTAAATATTTTGTAAAGCTATTTGACTTTCTTACCCTTACTTTAATTTTGTTAGATTTATCTACCAATTGAAGATTGTGTTGGCAATTGGTTTCTGATGGTTGCCTCTGTCCAAGACCAGATTTTGTATCATTTAGATCCGGGCTTTGAAAAAAGAACTATAATCCCTAGATAAGTGACCATTAAAGAAATGGTAAAGTACCTGTGATGATTTATATTTGAATATTTCATTAATCTATTACCTTATAATGTTTACTAATTGAATTTTTGCGGTGACAAGTTATCACTCAAATGGTGCAAATTATGGTGCAAACTAACTATTTTCCTCCCAACTTTCTATTTGAAGCACAACACTTAGATAATTGGGATATGGCTGAGCCCGTAGGATTTGTTTCGGAAGGATTTTGGTACTACAATATTCAATTCATTTTAACCATTGTGTATTCATTTCCATATATAAAACACCTTTCAATCATATGTGATAATTGTTCATTTTGAATAAGCAGCCAACACTCCGCAGCGTGGGTCTTACAATGGCTAGCAATGGGTTCGTCGTTTACACCAAACCTTCATGTCATGGTGGGTATCTTTAAGAGATAACATGGTCAACTAATTTTTGAATATTAAATATTTGCCTTGGTGCTAATATTATTAGTTAATTTTAGCAAATGAATGATGTTGTTAGAATGAAGGTGGCGATTGATTTGCTGCTAGGTGACCACAATGAATATAAAGAGATCTTGATGGACAAGGCTGAAAAAGCTTGGCACACTGAATGATGACTAGACATCAAAAAAATTCAATTAGTTTTCTTTAGAACATTCTAGGCATGTCTACAATGACCGCTTGCATTCGTAGGAAATTTCCCTTTTTACTATGCTTTTTTAATTACTTTTGTTAGATTTTTTTTGTTGCATCACTGCACTCTTTTTTTCTTCAATGTACTTTAATTTCTTTGGGATTTTCTAATAAGATTTTTAACGAGGCAGTGATTTTTCTTCTTTTTTCTTATTATACAATTTTGATAATTCAATTAAATTCATAAACTTACTATTCATTGTTGAGTAATAACACCTTAGGATATCTGTTATGAGAATGTTGTGATTAACAAGATTTTAGCAGTATATTCTTAGAGGATACTTGATTGGAGCAGTGATTAATTTTAAAGGTAATATTTAGCAGGTTCTGTATGGCACTCATTAACTATGAAATCACTTTCAAAACTATTATTTTTTAGTACTTGATTCAAGTACTGCAGTTTTTGTCATTAGGTTCATAACACATTGCAAGTATTGACTTCAAAAAGCGGATTTTCTATTGAGCTTATATATTTAGTGCGAAAGTTTTCCTACGGGCTTTTGCCTAAGATAATGGCTACTGCAAGAAAGACTCCTTCCCATAGAAAACGTTGGAAGGGTCATGAAGAATCTGAATAAGTTTAGGGAAATTGAAGGAGACAAGAATTTTTTTATGAATATGATTGCTAGTAAAGAGCTGCCGGGTGATAATACTGATCATCGATTCTTCCAAGGGTGTTGATGATGATATTTGCAACACTATTTCAGGTTTTTTTTAAGGTTTGATTATAGTCTATAGAACTATACACCAGTTTGTTATTGTTGTTTGAATTTTTTATGTTGAGATGGAAATATACACATTATTCATAGTGGTTGTGATTATATCTCAGAAAATATATATTATAGTGATGATTTGTATTTTTGTTGTTGAATTTGAGATATACATACCTAGTAATTTTGGTGATTGAGCAAGAAATAAGTTTGGTAAAAATTTTGTTTTGATTCAAATAGCATACTAACATATATCCAAACAAATGAAGAAAATGGTAAAACATTTGTGTTACTTTGAAGCTTAATTGCTTCTTTTAATTGTATGTCATAATAGCTTCATGTGGTTGCCTGTCACCCATGAGTACCACATCAAAGAAATGATTCTTATAGTTAATATTTTGAGGTTTTGAGTGAAAATGTGATTATATTTCCTCTTTAATAGATTGGTTGATGTTTGGAGTAATGAGTTTGGAGCTATGAAGCACGAACACACCAAAAACGACTCTGACACTGACACGACGACACCGATAATAACTTTAAAAATTGAATAAATTAGACGTAATCAGTGTCGTCGTTACTAGTGAGGATAGAAAAGTAATTATTTAATTTCAGGTGTTGTCTATTCTGTCATTTTTTCGTGCAGAGGTGGTTGCAGACAGTGTGTATTTGAACAGTCGATTTCAATAATTATTATCATTCTGTTTGTTTCTGCATAGTGTGTCGTGCAGTGGTGGTTTCAGAGCATCCACAAGAGTCTTTCTTTCTTTCTGCATCTGATCCAGTCGCGGCATTTGAATTTCTTCGATCATGTCAACTTTCAAATATGTAGTAACTATATGATTTTGTTGTGTTACCATTAAAGTAGGATCTCCCATGGACACACTTCATATGTAACAACTATATGATTTTGTTATGTTCCCATTTGAGACAAAGTATAAACACAATTATTTGCTTCTCAATAGATACGGATAAATCTCATCTCACTCATTTAATTAATCATATCTTGAATTCATTGAATCAAGAGACAACCTTCTCTTACCTTTTACTACTTCTTACTTGTAAGTAAGAACAATAATTATTATTTTAGTTATATAGTTGATTATAATTTTATTTTTAATTCATCAAACAGTAGTAGAAAATGTTACATTGATAACAAAGTTACAAACAAACAAACAGTGTAGAAAATGTTACATTGATAACAAAATGGAAATGCAGAAAATGTTACACTGATAAAAAAATGACAGTACAATAGATGTATGATTGATCATGTCTTATAACTAATTTACAAATTTCCTATTATTCTATGATCCTAATCATCTAATTCTGCCTGTCTTAGAATTTTTACAATTGCTGTCAAACTTGTGTAAAATGCGATTCCTCCACTAGTGCATGATGTTGCTTTCAATATGCAGAGTGTGTCAAATACTCTTCCTTAACTAGTAGAAAGTTGCTTCCAATATCCTTGCAGAGTTTTGAAGACATGAAACTATACATTAGCATCAATATTCAATTCGGTGTTTGTCATTCTATTGTAATAATTGGACACGGTCAACTTGTTGCATCAGGTTGCGAGTGCTGCTACCCCATCATCTCCTATATGTATACAACAGCAATAAAAAACAGAATGAACAAAACATCCTGAATCATAAACATTTAGTCACTGGTTGCGCATAATCATAACTTCAACCTTACAAGTTCAAAACATCCTGATAGATATTTAAGTGTTGTACGAGTTCTACAAGTGCTCAAAAAGCTGAAAAGCATAAAGAAAGAAACTCAATCAAGCCTCAGTTTTACAAGAGATCACTTCGGTTTTGCTGCTTCTTGTGTGAACTCAGTTAACTAAATATTAAATGCATAATTTGTAGACCATCGCATCTTTGGAACTCTAAAGTATATATATTCAATAAACTAAGTTAAAAGAAAAAGAACATGCAACTGTTTGAAACTTTTTCTACAAAAGGAATGCCTTGATATATTGGAGTTGGAAAGCAGGGCACTCATATCCTTAGTACAACAATCATGATCTATATCGTGTAGATATAAAACAACTAGGCAAGAAACTACAAAAATTGGGAGATGTAATATTCAATATGCATGATCATATCTCAGATAACCCAGGTTGAAAAATAGGAATATTCCAAAATATTATCCCGAACAAGAAGGCAATGACTATAGTGAATAAAAGTCTCACTGCACTGTAGGGTGGATTTCGCCAATACGATAGGTGCTGCTTCCAAAGGCAAGCCGGTTAAGAAAGATTCTGAGTGACGTGTTGTGAAGTACAAGTCTTTAGAACCCTCTGGAGGGGTACTGAGTTCCCTGATCAAGTCCTTGTTTCTCCGAAAAGTAATTGTACATCATGGTTTACGAATCGTATGTATGCTTAAAGAAGGGCTTTTACTTCCAAACATCATTACGGATTTCTAAAGTTGATACTATCTTACCTGTATAATTCAGAATCCTTGTAAAGCTCGGCGGAGTTAACTCTGAGAGCTTCTTCATGTACTTATGAAGTAGCCTCCAACATCCAAGTGGCAGGGTTATAACCATTCTTGATTTTCGGCACTCCATTAACTCCCTATATCAAGGAGGTGTTTTTTTGCTTTGATGAAAATATTAATCGATAATATGTCAAGCATTTAGTATTAGTAACAAACAAGATATTGTTACCTCAAAGTAATTGATTAGATGAGAACAATGGCGACCTAATGGCCCAACATATATTTCCACTCCTACACACTAAGAGTTGACTTGGCAAAAAAGGAAAATGGTATCTGAACTCATCAAAAGCATCAAACATATCAATACTAGGCTGGTGAATTATGCAGACAACAGTTCGTCCTATATCAACTGTATTCCGCACTGTTCTCATTACTATAGCAGCAGCTCTAGCATCAAGGCCAGAGGTAGGTTCATCCATGAATATAATAGATGGATTGGCAACAAGTTCAACTGCAATTGTTAACCTTTTGTGCTGCTTCCTGGACAGACCATTCACACCTGGCAATCCAACGAGCGCTTCTCTTATTGAAGTCAACTCTATCAACTCTATAACTTCCTCAATGAACATCTGCAATAAGCGGTGTGTTCACATGACTTATTAATATACAATGATTTTGTATTCAGAGTAAAAAAAACAAAAAATTGACAAACTTTACCTTTCTTGTGGCAGAATCAACGACAGGTGGCAACCGGAGCCATGCAGAATAAACAAGAGATTCATAGACAGTAACATGGGGAGAGTGAATATCATTTTGCTCACAGTATCCTGATATGCGAGCGAACGTTTCTTGCTTTTTAGGGTACCCCGATATAGTGATTTGTCCTTATGCTGTCGTTTTCCTTCCAGACAACACATCCATTAGAGTTGTTTTACCAGCTCCACTTATCCCCATTAGAGCTGTCAGAACACCTGGTCTAAAAGCTCCATTAACACCCTTTAAAAGTTCAAGTCGATCTTCAAGAATCCCTTTGGCATTTATTTCCTACAAGTAAGCATAAAGGGAGAGCATTAGAAATATATCAGGAGGAAGACTGTAAACTATTGCCATTTTTTTATGATTGTTTTCTTCGGAGAGTAACTTAGGTATGCTTCACATGTCACCACTATGTTATGCTATGTGCATGCCGGGTGACTCGGGTATTGTTTGGATAAACAACTAAGCTCTTATTTATTATAAACACTTATCATATAAATGCTTTTGTATATGCTATTTATGTAATAAAAAATAAAGTAAGGTCAAACTGTTTTCATATGAATTGTAAGTTGTTTTCACAAGCTATTTTGGAGAACTTGTGAAAATAAGCTAAAAACAACTTATAGATATCTCATAAGTTGTTTTCATAAGTTCTTCTAAACAATATTTCACGCATTTATGCTAGTAGATAAACTCAAATAAGTAAATTCAAACAAATTCTCATTCTAATGCTCCATTGCATAAATGGCCACTACATTTCAAGTTGATGACTTGAGAGACAGTGGAGTCTCCACTTAAAAAGTCCTTTGAAGTTTGACGATAATTCGTGTACCTGTGGCATGTCCATCTGATATCCAATTTCATCAAAAGTGATAGAAAGAGGTGTGAAAGGAAGAACCATCCCCCGCTTCCTGCTGTGATCAGTTTCACTAATGCTGCATATTCTTGCTGACACTGTCGTAGAAGAAAAACTTCTTCGACTTGCATTTCCTTTAGATGCATCGAAGTTAT